GAGTGTGTATATATATACGGTATATATATATATATATATATATATATATATATATATATATATATATGTATGATGTCAGTGAACTATTCAATTTATCTTACATTGCTGATTTAGTAACAGTTCATGGTAGCATAACTACCAGATACATTATACAGGGATACTTAAAAGACTGCAGGTATGTATTCTGAAGATTCTAGAGGTTATGTAAATTGTACAAAGGAAAAAAATAAATTTATTCTTCACATGATAATTTTTCACTCTGACTTATCAAAGTCTGAGTCAAACTGATTTCGTCACTTCACAGAAATATCTTGGATACAAATATGTTTGTAACACATCTGATTTTTTGTGTAATTTTGAAAATTTTTTTGCCAAATTACACTTAGATACACATAGTAAATTCAAAATTATAGTCATCATTCCTTCTCCAATATGAGGTTGGTCAAATGGACCAGCCCTGTGCACATTTAGTTATGCCAATATGCTTTTATTTGACATTTTTTTTCTCACTTGATAACAGACATTGGAAAGATTCAACATTTTAAGCTTCTTTTTTTAATATCTTTTTATGTTACCTAATTGAAGACCAAATGGCAAACAGTATATTAAGGATAAATTTGTACTGAAATATACTTAGTCTTTACCTTTGACACATATTAATAGTTACACTGAGGAAATATAAAAGCAAATTTGTCCTATGGGCATTATTTTTTGTAGTTAAAATAACTCAAAAGTAGTGCATTTGAAATAAAATACTGTAGATTAATGTTCAGTGGAACTGATGGGATAAGTAATGCTCAGACATATGGGGCCACCAAAAATTATAAACATTTTATATAAAATAAGAGACATACCAAAATGGAAAATGGTAAATTTATAAGTTTTTAACTCCATGCTTAAAATCTACTGAACAAATTTCCAACTTCTCATTTATAATTTGTCACTTAGGATAATTATTTAGGGTGTGCCTTAAAATTTCAGTATTTGTAGAGCTACTACTTGTGCTTTATTTCTAGACAAATTGATATTTCTACCATCTGCAGTTAATTTTTGTCACAAAACAGTTTCAACACAAACACTTTGTTACATTACTATCACATGCCATATGGCAAATTGAAATTTATATATGGACATTTTTGTAAGGCTTAAGACGGCAGTAGACAACACAGAACATACAACAGTAAATATTTACAACTTATAAATACATGTTGAATACATTCAAGATCTGTTTTTATTGTTGTGTAGTAAGTTAAAAAAGAAACAAGTCTTGTCACTTTAAGTACTTCTCAATGATTAAAATTGGTTGCATAATGTATCTTAACATTATATTGAATAGAATCCATATTCTGATTATTTCTGATGTAAAAATAAAAATTTATATCAACATCATATAAATAATGTTGTTTTCAATTATGCACTTCTTTAAATTGAAAGACCCTTCACTCAGCTTGTCCCAATAATTAAAATGACATTAGGTGAGAACAATGGAATTGATAAAATGTCTATAGCTAAATGGAAATATAGACGAGAATGATCGCTCTTGCAAACATACTAACAGTAGTGGCCTGTAGCTCTCAAAGAGCTTACAAACAGGAGAGACAGAAATAGTTTACTCCAACATGCCAACTTTCATTGCTGTTTTCTTTTGAAAAGGAATTCAAGAAAAGTTTCAAATATTCCTAACTGTACCCATTATTCAATTGCAATCAGTTGAAAATTATTGTATTGTTGTTTAAACACAAATATTTTGATATAGATGGTTAGATAACTAAAGAAAAGGTTAATACGATAAAAGGAAATACAAAGGATTGTAAGGAAGAAATTTTTGAATTTTCATTTTATTCAACATTTTGAGACTTGTGAGGTTAACTATCATATTTGTAACATTCTGGAATACTTGATAATTTTTATCATCTCACATAATTTGTTTACATACAACTTTTATCTCACTGAACCCATAATTTTTGCAGATCTCAGAGGCAGCATCAATCAATATATTTTACACTAATATATTATTATACTTACAATAGGTTCTACATATAGCTAAGGAAAATTATAGAGGCTGGCCCTACTACCCGTGACTTAGACTATAAAATACCATAGCTACCATAGTCTAAAAGTCAAAGTAGGGAATTATCGAATTAGAGATAGTGCATAACTAGTCACTAGCAATGTCCTTACAATCCTTTCAAGTCCCCTAATCATTTAAATTAAGGTAGACAGCTCTTGCTTGAAAAATTATGCAGGTCAGTTAGACAAATACTGTAAACATAACTGGTGGTCCATCATCATTATGTACTGGTTAATTTCACATACTGGCCAAATTCTAGGTTTAGACCATCTACTTATAAGTGGGCCTGTAATATAACTTATTACCATGACAACACTGCCAAGTAACATTTCCAGGGATAAGTTTACCAAAAAGTGAGTTTTTTTTCAACAAAAAGATGGAAACTCTCATTGCACTTGTTAATTTTATCTCTGACTAACAGTGTCATTTTATTTCTGTTGGATCAATGATTAGTAATACAAAAATATTAACATTTTAAAGACAGATGGTAGTTTAAAAAACACAAAGCTCTAAAACAGCCAGAGAAACTTACATTTCTTCATACAATTAGCTGCTTTTGTTTTTTGTCATTCTCTAAAG